CCGAGTAACCCCCCCCCCCCCCGCCCGTAAATCCATGCAGAAGGTACCATAAAGCCCCTTGATCAAAGGAAGCGAAAGCGGCAGGCAGTGTGGTAAAAAAGGTAAAGGTTCCCTTGCTCGAAAGCCAGTCGAGTCCGACTCTAGGGTTGCGGTGCTCATCTCCGTTTCAAAGCCGAAGAGCCAGCGCTGTCCAAAGACATTTCCGTGGTCATGTGGCGGCATGACCAAGGTGCACAGAACGCTGTTCCCTTCCCACAGAAGCGGTACCTATTTATCTACTCTCAATTTCTTGCTTTCAAACTGCTAGGTTGGCAGGAGCTGGAACCAGAGACGGGAGCTCACTCCGTCATGCGGCACACTCGGGTCTTGAACTACTGACCTTCCACGGCCTGCAGTTCAGCGTCTTAACCACTTGAGCCACCGCAGCTCCTTAGGCAGTGTGGAGGCTACCACAAAATCCCATAAGCAAAGGAAGTGAAAGCCGCATGCAATGCAGAGGGGGATTTCTCGGTTCCAACGTGGGTTTTCCTAAAACAACAGAGGGCAAAGCCGATGCAGAACCAGCCAGGCTGAGTTCCCACAAGCTGCTGCTGCGCGCTGGCTCTTCCCTTTGCCCCGGTCCGTGTGTGTCAATTTCACACTAATAAGTGCTGCGCTGCTGCATTTGGCCCTGCAGCTTCGCCGGAATTTCCCGGCCTCTACTCAATCGGGCGAAGCTGCGGGGCAAAATGCAGCCGTGCAGCACTTATTAGTGTGAAATTGACACGATGGGGCAAAGGGAAGAGCCAGCCCGCCGCATCAGCTTGTGGGAACTCGGTCACTACTGAGTACCAAGGACGAATCCCCCTGGCCTTGAAATCGGATTCGGACCAGAGCTTTGGCCGGAGAGGGGGGGGGAGGAGCCCGCCCCCGGCCCTTCTCCGGACCTCCCTCCCCCCCTCCCTCCTGGCCGGGCTCCTCCCTCCCATTGTTAATTGGCCAGATGTTCGCAAGAGGAAAAACGCTTCGGCGCTCGCAAGAGGCGCGGCGCGGCTAGTCCGGAGCGACTCCGGAGCCGAGCGGAGGCGGAGATGCCGCGGCGCCAGGGGAGGTCGGAGCGGCAGGTAGGCTGCGGGGAGGGGCTGCAAGACGGAGTCGCGTCCCGTCTCTGCAGCCGCATTTTTGCAATTCCAAGGGAGGGGGAGTCAGAAGGGGAGGGGGATAAACCCCACCTGTGGTCCGTCCCCCCCCCCCGAGGTTCGTCTGAAGGCCCCGATCCTCTGCTTGCTGACTTGATAGCAACCCCCCCCCCAATAAACTTCGAGGCTTACTTCTGAGGAAGCCCTGCGTGGCTCGTGCTGCACAACTGCGACCCTCTGCGCACTTGGGAGCCAGTGTTCCCTCTGAGCTGAGTGAATGTGAGCCAGCTCACAGTTTTTTAGCCTCCGGCTGACACATCTGTGTCTTCGCTCAGGAAGGAGGGCTCCACGGCAAACTGATTTATGCAGCTGCCAAACTGCTCGCTCACAACTTTAATGCCAGTAGCTCTAAAGGCAGAGTTTTTGCTCACAGGACTCCACAGCGTAGAGCAGTGATGGCGAACCTTTTAGAGACCGAGTGCCCAAACTGCGACCCAAAACCCACTTATTTATCGCAAAGTGCCAACACGGCAATTTAACCTAAATACTGAGGTTTTACTTTAGATAGAAAAAACCACTCATACATTAATTTAAGATGATCCAAACAAAGTGAGGAAAGCAATCCGAAAGGCTTTCATTTACTTAAAATTATTTGGCAGAGAATTCGACACTTTAATGATGGTCTGGGCCTGGCTGGGGGGATGGCACGCGTGCCCACAGAGAGGGCTCTGAGTGCCACCTCTGGCACCCGTGCCATAGGTTTGCCACCACTGGCGTAGAGGGTGCATTGCTTGGGAGCAGGGGCGGATTAACCATGAAGCAGACTAAGCACATGCTTAGGGCACCAGGGCCAAAGGGGGCGCCACAAAGTTGGGAAAGGGGTGTACAGTCTTTCTCACAACTGAAACGTGTAAAAAAACCCAAATGTTATGCTTCAAGAAAGACCCAATATTAACAACTGAAGCAGACATTCTGAGAGGTGTCAATTTCGAGGATGTTATCAGTGATTTTGCGAAAATGAACTCTAGAAAAATTCCTTTCAGGTCATGAATATGAATATTGATACATTTAACTTGTGAAATATTGAAATAGATGTTGCATTGCATTTTTGTAGAACTTTATGTAGCCCAAGCTTGGCTTAGTTTGTACAGTATATTGTGTTATCCTATGAATACATATTTGTCTTGCTGCAACCTGCATTGTATACCTGGTCAGACAGGTCAACAGCTAAAATGGACTGGGGGTCCGTGTGGAAAGGTCAGTGCTTAGGGCACCAGAGAGCCTTAATCCGCCCCTGCTTGGGAGTAGACCCCTCTGAGCTCAGCGCAACTGACTTCTGAGTAAGCGCGCGCCTTCAAGCCGCGATCTTTAAGGCCCTTAGGTGGGGAGGAAAGCCGCACTGGATTGGCTCCGCGTCACTCCGAGCGCTCTCGGAGGACGGGAGCGCCCTGGGAGACGGGGCGATCCGAGAGTGTCTGTAGGATGCTCAACTCCTCCTCTGGGAGCTACCACCACCACCACCACCCCACGCAGACAGTTTCCTCCCCCTCTCTTTGCATTATCCCTCGCAGTTGACAACTTTTTGATCAAGACCCATAGGGTTGCCAACCTCCAGGTGGGACCTGGAGACTCCCTGGAATGACAGGTCATCTCCTGACCACAGAGATCAGTTTGCCTGGAGAAAAGGGACGCTTGGGAGGGTGGGCTCTGTGGCACCATACCCCGCTGAGGCCCCTCCCCTCCCCAGGCTCCACCCCCAAATCTCCAGGAGTTTCCCAACCTGGATCTGGCAACCCTTTGACTGTCGCTGTGCCTTTTAGTGCAGGAACAAGCAGGGGGTGGGGTTGAGTGCCACTCCAGTCGTCCTGGCAGCTGTTTAGAAGTCGGATTAAACCCACTCGAGGGCAAGAAAGCAGAACCGCGTCATTCTGCGTATAATAAGATTGGCATATGGGCGGAGCCTAGCTTAGGACAATGTCCATCTACTTGATTTAAGAATGGGGCCAGATCGCTCAGGAAAAAAAATAAAAAGTAGGGGCGCAAGTCAAAGCATGGTCAAAGCAATGGTATTCCCAGTAGTCATGTATGGCTGCGAGAGTTGGACTATAAGGAAGGCCGAGCGCCGAAGAATAGATTCTTTTGAACTATGGTGCTGGAGAAGACTCTTGAGAGTCCCTTGGACTGCAAGAACAACAAATCCGTCAATCCTAAAAGAAATCAACCCTGACTGTTCCCTGGAAGGCCAGATAATGAAACTGAAGCTCAAATACTTTGGCCACCAAATGAGAAGGGAGCACTCACTGGAAAAGACCCTGATGCTGGGAAAGATTGAAGGTCAAAGAAGACAGGAACGGCAAAGGATGAGATGGTTAGACAGTGTCATAGATGCAACGAACATGAAATTGAGCCAACTTCAGAGGACGGCGGAAGACAGGAGTGCTTGGTGTGATCTGGTCCATGGGGTCGCGAAGAGTCGGACTCGACTGTGCGACTGAACAACAACAAAGGGGCATATGCCGCATATAATTTTGATCTTTTGCATCTTACTTGTAAGTGCTCAACACAGGGTATCCTTTAACAGAAATTGTATTTTGTCTAGAGTCTGAATTTTATTTCCCAGATACTATGTTTTTATTTCTGTGAAATGCCAATAAAGGAATTGCTGTGTGTGGAGTGCCATTCCACCAAAAAAAACCCCACCACTCTATTCAGATCCGTAGCTACAGGGGGCATCTTGGGGCTAGGCCCCCCGACTTACTACCCGTGCCCCCTCAACTTCCCATCCAGACGGTTTTATTTTTCTCACGCACCACGGCCACGTCACGCCGTCGTCCTGCCCTGTCTGCCGGCAGTGTCCATAGGATCACGAAACCGCGGGGGAAATCGGGCAAAGCCACGGGTCAAAACGTGGCCACGTGGCTTCGAGTGGGAAATTGACCAATAGAAGCGGGGCAAAGGGAGGCGCGACCGCAGCGCAGCTCTTGTGTGAAATTGGTCCATGAACCTTGTGACTCCACCGCACACTCTTCTTTGGGGGGGGGTTGTCTAGACCATGGGAATGATTCCAAACACAGAGCTGGTGCCTGCTATTCCAGATCAAGTGATGTGGGTCGTCAGGGTTATTATGAGCTTAGGTCTGGGCAGTCTGCCATCACCTAGTGCAGCAGTTCCCAGCCTTTTTGGTATGGTGGCCCACAAGTCCAAATGGAACCCATCCAGTTCCCCTGGAGAAAATGGCTGCTTTGGAGGGTGGGCTCTATGGCACTGTACCCCACTGGGGTCCCTGTCCGCTCCAGGCTCCATCCCCAAATCCCCAGGAGTTTCCCAACCCGGATCTGGCAAACCGCCCCCCCTCCATCTCCCGCTGGTGGCCAGGAGGGGACCAGGCAGCCCAAAACTCTTTCCAGGGTCAGATCGTGGCCTCCAAATGACAAAAGAGAGCCGAGGAAGGGGCTTATTGGGCCACGTTTGGTTCCCAACCCACAGGTTGGGAAACATGGACCTAGTAAAATGAACCCTTTTTGTGCGCGGATTTGCTCAGAGCAGGGGGATCGGGGCCCAAACAGCACCCCCCCCCCAATCTCAAAATGCAATTCAGTGACGAAAAAGCTACATGTATTTATTAAGTACAAATTTAAAACATATATAAGGGCCCATTCACATCAAATATATAAATGACATAGCAATACACACGGGCTTTAAAAACCTGACCTGACGGGTTTCGGCCTGCATCGGCCTTCCTCAGAGGTCAAGCAATTGAGTGGCAAGATGGCTATATAACTATAATACAATCATGTAGACGCAATCAGAACGGATACAAAATATACATTCAATGTGGACCAGAAAACAAGTCGTTCCGGAATAAAACCACCAGGCACAGAATAAATATGCCAATGAGAGTGACGAGAGGCCAACCGTTTTGCCCAGGAGGGGTTTGCTCTTCAGGAGTCTTCAGGAACCCTCTGAAATGTGAGCAAGGGAGTTTTCCTTCCCACGGAGATAAGAGGATGGGGGGGGGAGGCTTTGCCAGAGTGCAAAATAACTTGCAAGAGTGCTGTTAAGAGAACTGGGGGCTGGTCCGGAAGACGGTAGGTTTGCCGAGAAAACGGTGCATCCCCACTAATGAATGTGCCTATGAGCATGAACAGAGGGTATAGTCTCTCACCACAGAGTGTGCACAAGCCATTATTCCATATCCGAAGTTAGGAGTCTGGGCTGCTAGCTCAGAGAAGAAGAGGAGATTGGATTTATACCCCGGCCTTCACAACCCAAAGGAGTCTCAGAGCGGCTTACAAACTCCTTCCCTTCCCCTCCCCCCAACAGACACCCTGGGAGCAATGTTCCCTCTAAGCTGTGGGATCTTGTGAGCAAAAATTCTACTCTGTGAGCTACTGGCATGAAATTTGTGAGCAAGCGATTTGGCTACTGCATAAATTAGTTGGCTCTAGAGTCATCCTTCCTGAGCGAAGACTAAAATCTGTGAGCTGGAGGCTGAAAAACTGTGAGCTAGCTCACACTAACTCAGCTTAGAGGAACACTGCCTGTGAGGTAGGCAGGGCTGAGAGAGTTCTTTCGAAGACTGCTCTACAGAGAACAGCTCTGACAGAACTATGGCTTGCCCAAGATCATCCAGGAGCTGCAAGTGGAGGAGTGGGGAATCCAACTTATTGTAACAGGGAGCCAGTTTGGTGTCGTGGTTAGGAGCACGGACTCTAATCTGGGAGGACCGGGTTTGATTCCCCTCTCCTCCACATGCAGCTGCTGGTGTGACCTTGGGTCAGTCAAAAGTTCTCTCAGAGCTCTTCCCTCAAGAGCAGTTCTCGGGAGAGCTCTGTCCACCCCACCTCCCTCACAGGGCACCTGTTGTGCGGAGGGGAAGGGAAAGGAGTTTGTAAGCCGCTCTCAGAGACTCCAAGTGAAAGGCGGGGTATAAATCCAATCTCTTCTTCTTGTTCTATTTCTGCCCTTTAAACTTCTGCCTGTTA